CTTTTTTCGACATCATCCATGACATTTGCCAACAACTCAAGCGATATCGCAGCGATTTCAGCTCGAATCGTCCAAAGTCTTCGGCTTGTTGGCATATACTTTGCTTTTCAATAAGCCTTACAGGAAAGAGTCTGGTGCAATCAAATCACGCATCTGGGTGGCCAGTCTTTATTCCCTCCTTTCGATACCACACGTCCGGGGAACTTCTGCCGCAAGAATTTAATCATTGACTCCTCTGTGTGACATGTTGCGCCATCTCGTTCAAATCAAAAGTTTTTCAGACCTTTTTGATGCATCGCATGTAAAACTGAAAGTGCCAACATCCACCGAAACCGATCCCTGCTGAGAGTAATTGTAATTGTACATTGTAACCGTTTCCGCACTTTTTCTTTGGGTGTGGAACGATACATGACTGAAATTATATTGGAATAACCTTTCCAAAAAAGTGCACGCAACCATTTGATATCCGTCAAAGTTATTCCATGTTTCCATTGACCACATATAGATGGCGCACCCAGTATGTAGACGTGTTATAAAAATACCTTAGTACATATAAATATACATGTCTTGTGTAAGAGGAAATTGTAAAAAGGATGTCATCTTCAGTATCCTTTGTCACTATAAATATTGATATTCTAAAACCTTTGTCTTCGAACTAAGCTTCACCTTTAAAGCTGATAATAACAAATATTCCAGTTCATAAGGATCAATTTTATTTCATTTTAAAATGCAATGATGCTGTCGAGTAAAGAAACAACTGTAAATTTCTTTATTTACGCACACTTGTTAAAGCTTTAAAACATAAGCGGATTTACATAGCTCGTTTCCAGCTAAAAGCGGAGAAGAAATGAAAGTAAATTAGAAGAAAAATATATAAATAAGAATATAAAATAATAAAAAAGTACGCAATGGAAATTAACTTATGAAAAGGTTGGCGTATAAAAATCTGAAAGTACATAAATTTGAGCGAACAACATAAAACGCTACTTGGCAACGTAGTAAAGCAGAATAGTGCAAAAAACAAACGACGGAATTAAGTGAGAGCGCGTACAGCAGAAGCTAAACGTTCATGCTTAGTTACAGCAGCAAATTTTCTGCTGATTGAGTTTTCACCGAGCGTAAAAAAATGTTAAGACTTTACTTATACTTAGGTTTTAACTACAGATTTGTACCACACTTTGTTAGAAAGTACATAAAGGGTGGGCCGTCTGCAGTCTGCCTTTCGGCTTTGAACTACGGATTATTAGCAGCTAACGAAATAGTTGAGTTTATGCTTAAGAACAATTGGAAGGTATTGAAAATTTACTCGCAAAAAAATATATTCAATTGTTGAATTAATGAGATCCGTCAAGGGAACCTAAAGTTGTTCGCACTAATGCAGCTGTCGAAAACCAAATAGTCGAAAATATGTGGAATAATCAAGTCGACATATAGAACAGAATGAGCTACTACAAGACCAGTCTCGGCAGCTACATGAATGAAGAAGTGTTTCATCATTAACTATTATGTTGAGGCATTTCATTAAATCAATAAATGCAAACTCATTATAAAACATTTATCAGCGTTATATAACAATTACTAATTGTAAATTATTTTATGGCTCTGCCCTCCCATAATCAATATGGTTAGAATTTCACTAACATTCTATGTACCAAAAAATTTTAGTTACAACTAGAAATGGCTGCAAAACTTTCAACCTTCAACTTTCAACTTTTTCAAAAAAATTTTTATCTTAAATACACTCAACTAATAAAGTTTTAATTGAGCCCTTTTATTAGAAACGGTAGCACAACTCAGTGGGTAAACGTTAAAAGATTCTTAGTTTCTAAAACGGGTTAAAGAGATGTCGTAAAATGTAAGTAGCTTAATTGGTGAGCCAAAATCGACTTGGACTCTAACGCTGACATTCCGCATAATCCTGTGTAATGCTAATCACTCACCTATTGCAGCCGCCAAGGCTGAATATCAGGTATTAACAAGCGGTCAGAATGCAATGAAAGATGAGCTCTATTCCTCTAAAGTTAAGGAAATTAATGGTGATAGAAAATCGTCATTTAAGTTGAAGAGAAATGACCACTAAACTTTCTGTGACTCATGAATCAAATTCGAATAATGCCAAAGAAAGGTTTGCACACGAGATGGAGAGAGAGAGAGAAGAAGAAGAAGAGAGAGGAGGAGATAAAAATCCAACGCACAATCACTATCGCCAACAGGTGCTACTGTGCAATGAGAAGGCAATTGCAAAGTAAAGTCTCCCTCGACAAACCAAAACCAAACTCTACAAGTCGCTCATCAAACCCGTCCTACTATTGTATATGGTGCACCACTGGCTAGGCCATGTCATGTGAACGAGTGAAAGTGCTTCAACTTTGAAAGCATTCAATGCAGTAGATGCCGATGGATGCAGGTGGTATTTACAACTGGCACCACACAGCGAAGAGCTGAATCGAACAGCATGCCATTGTTGATTCGGCTATAATCGCGTAAGCGGTGCCTGTGGTTCGTTTGTTTTTGAATATCATGCCGAGATATTTGAGATCGATAAATCAGCTACCTCTTTTAGGCTTATAAAGTTTGTGTTCTATGAAATGGAAATCGAAAATACACAGCTTCGAGAAATATATGTAGTCCTTATAACCACTTTCTTCCCGAATATGCCAAAATGAGTATATATGTATATATGTATACATTTAACTTGAACAATCTAATCTCCATTAGAACTCGTACATTTTATTGCTTATAATTTTTTTGCTCCTAAGAATATTGAAAACAGTTGGCCGGAAATTGTGGGCTTGTGGGAGCACTTGCGTACAAATGTAGCTACACATATATGTATGTGTAACCATCAAGTAATATACAATACATGATACCACTCCTCCTAATTATTTTGATACAAATGCATAAGAAGAAAATTAGAAACGAGAATATAGTGAATAATATAAGGAAATGATATTCTATTCTATTGTGTTTGTGTCATAATATACATACATATACATGTATGTATTTATGTGCATACACGTATGCTCAATTTACCGCCAACAATATTCTTTCATTAAATGCTATAAGATATATGCTTGTAGTAATATTTTATGTGACCTCATATGCGTACATAGACATACCTACATTTTTGCGGATTTCGATTTATATATACTGTTGTTTGTGCATATATAATATTTACATAACAGACATTTGAATACATATGCATATGGGCGTTTATTGCAAACCCAAGTGTAATGACAATAAAGGAAATTAATGCCACTAAGACAACGACGGAGAGAGTATCAATATAAATAGTTGAGTAACGGTAGATTCTTAAAGTGAAAGCAAACAAAATTGAATTACTGTTCTGTTTGTGAGCATAAAATTTTATTTCTTTCGGGTGGCATACAGTAGTATGTATTTGATGGTAAGCTAACGATTTTGTGAGGTGGCGATAGCGACTGTCTTCACATGGAGAAACATTCAAACAAATAGAGCAAAGAAGCGTAAAAATGTCTAACTATTTTCTGTTTGCGGTTGTCCCTCGGCAGAGCATTTCAATATCTACGGGTGTATTTATGACATCAAATAAAGTCTAAAGGCTTAGTATAAACAATAGGTCCCTCCATTTGTTGGAAAACACCAAGACGCAAAGCCACAAATTGGAGGAGGAGCTCGGCTGGAAATCGCTTCAGTGGCTACAAAGCGCCATATATATATATATATATTTTTATGTGTGAACTCCTAACTCAAAATATATTTGTTATAAAAATCAAAAATGTAAAGATATCTTGCAGCACCTCGCTTCCAGTTTCGGTTCGGCGATTCATGATTATGACGAAGTTTTATTAGTTTTTCGTGGATACCGATTTCAGTTATAGTGGCGTGTGGTTATAGTGGTTTGTGCACTCCAAGGCAGTTTGAGAATCAAAGAAAAGGTTACGTTTTCTCAAGACTAATTAAGAATATCTGGTGAATGTTGGATTCACCAGCTCTGAAGCCTGACTTATAGATGCTTTCAGGGTTTAATCTTCGTGCAATTGGCTAGGTAACTAATGCAGATGCAGTTTGTAGGTTGCCTTGCTCGTAAATTTCGTTGCACACGTTGGAATCTTCAGCTATGTTTTCAATAAAACTACCATATTTGAACAGCTCTGATGGTTGTACCTTTGCGCCGCCACTTTGTTATTTTTCAGCTGAGAAATCGCTATTCGAATTTCTTCTTATGGGCTTTTATTCCGATTTTGTCGAGGAGAAACAGTTTCGTTTGGAGCTGTACGGAAGCAACATAAATACTCCCTTATACCGAGTTATTGATGAAGTACTTTCAGTTTGTAGTTGTGATTTGTGAATTGTGACTACACACAGACGGGAGGCACAAGGTAGTAGTCGGAGTTGTTATTAAAACATCAAAGCCCCTGCATATTTATAACACTGAAGTCTGCATGTCTTCTGTCTATCACAATATGGTAAATTTAGTTTCAAGTACTTCGATCGGGACGTATTCTTTTAACAAAACATACAATCATCAGCTCTAGCTCATTTATGGTGACAGTGCTCGTGGGTGCCATCAGGACCACACACTCATCGCTCTGAACTTCCATAGGAGCGAGATAACAGGTTGACGACATGTGACAAGGTTTTCGATAAGAGGGGTAAATGCAACTACTCTTACTCTTCTCCTTCCAAACCACTGCTATCGCCCGCGGAGGTCTCTTAAACGTTGTTTTTGGATCTCACACAATGATATCAAAAGAGGTTCAGGTCAGAAAGTAAAAGCTTTTAGCTTCACTCAATTATATATTCTTATACATAAACACTTTTTGAGGTGAAGACAGTTCTTATCGTTGAGTATTAAGCGAAGTCTGAGTTTCGTATATACAATATTTTCATGATACTTACTTTGTACCCAATCCTATGATATTGTCTCTTAGGAAAAATAAATACTCAGAAAACTTTACTACATATATATATGCAATAAATACATACTTGAGTGCAATTAAAAGTGTTGTAAAAGTTGATTGAATTTTTAATGATTTTCCATATTTTATTAATCTCTTTTTCATAATTATGTACATAAAATTAATTATTTACATGATTAACAAATGTCATTAAAATGTATCATAGCTATAGCTGTAAGCCAATCTAAACTTATAGCTTACACGCATACATACATATATATATATACATGTACGTGACTAAATTTTACTCCCTCCTCAATAACTATGCTCTCAAACTCTGCTGAATCCAATCAATATAATCGGCAACACGCGTATATACCGCCGGCCAGCCCTCCAGACCACAGCGATTGCCAAAGGATACAATACCCTCCAGGTACCAACGGTTTTGGGCATTTTGGCGCATCAATGGACCACCGGAGTCGCCATCGCAACTATCCTTGGAAAACTCACCGCCGGCGCAGAGCTGCGAAGTAATCAAATTGACGTGTCGGGTGGAAAATTTACGCGCACATGAATCATGATCCACAACTGGTACGGCCAATTCTTGCTTGACATTACTTTGACGCGCTGCCTCGCAGTCAAGCGAACATTGGAAGCATACATGTACATATATACATATATGAAATATTTCAAGTCCAACGAAGGAGAAGGAGAAATGGAGAATGAAATGAAATGTAAACAAACGTTATCAAAGATGGTACATTGAGCAGTGAAAATACATATAAAAATATATACATATGTATAATACATAAGTATATCTATAAAATAAAAAGAATTACAACATAAAATGGGAGTATCGATATTTTTGTGTGAGACAAACGACAAAGTGTGGTTCAGCCGGCATGTCGTCCCTTCTGCCATGGCAACAGATCACATGGGAAGACAAGAAGAGGAAGGAGAAACTTACGCCTCCTATCATTTTACTACCTTTTCTGAACGACATACATATCTATAAGCTTTATATATTTATAGTGTACTATATAGTATGTACTTACCCAACAATGTACGCCCCCAACCAGCTACCGTTAGTAGCTCACCCACATCGATGGCTTGACGCGTGCTGGCCAAAGGCAAGCAAACTGGCCTAATGAAATCCGAGTACGTCACGTCCTCAGCCAGTCGTATCAGCGCAATATCGTGATGACGGTTATTGTTGTTGGGTTTATATTGTGGATGTGGGATCACCTGTTCGTAGCCCAATTTTACAACTTTAGTGTTGCAATCTTGTTGTATGCAATCGATTTCTTTGCTGATATCATACTCGCCCAGATGAATGGTTGCGCTGCAGATTGTACGGATTGTGCGAGTTGTGGATTGCGAAATTTCCGTTTTGACATTGGTTGCAGATGCCGGTAGGCGGAACGTTAATGGTTTGTGGGTTTTGCAGATTTACAAGTTCGTATAATAGTGTTGGTGAAATGCAAACGGATCGAAAGTTCACAGGCATTTATAAAAAGTGATTATAAAAATAAGCAGAACATAAATTAAATTTAAGTGAATGAATTGTAAGATATGCGTAATGATGGGAAAAGTATGTGAGAATATACGATGTTGCATGAATTACGACTCTTGGCGGAATTTTATTGTGAACCAATACTTAAGGGTGATTTTTTAAAAGATATAGAAAATTAAAAATATTAAATAAAATTCAGAAAAATGCATGAAATCTTTATTTGAGTCGATAGTTTTGTCCATATAATTGAAAGATAGCAGATTATTTCGTGCAAATGTTGACCATGACTGCGTCTCAAATGGTCCATTCGCTTAGCCCAATTTTTGCATACTCTTTTTAACACTTTGACCGGGATCGCACGAATAAATGCTTCAATGTTGTTCTCCAATGCGTCAATTGAAGCGAGCTTGTTTGCCCAGACATTAGTTTTTACATAGCCCCAACAAAAAGTAGTCCAATGGTGTTAAATCGCAAGATCTAGGAGGCCAATTGACGGGTCCCGAAAGTGAAATTAAATGTTCACCCAACTCGCCTCTCAATAAATCCATTGTTACGCGTACTATGTGGCATGTGGCACTGTCTTTTTAAAACCACACAACATGCAAGTCGAGCTCTTGCATTTTAGGCAAAAAAAAGTTTGATATCATCTCACGGTAGCACTCACCATTCACATTTACGTTATGTATGACATCATCTTTGATGGAATATGGTCCAACGATACCGCCAGCCTATAAACCGCTCCAAATTCTGACTTTTTCTGGATGCATTGGTAGCTTTTGCTGATCTTCACTCCAAAATCGACAAGTCTGCTTATTTACGCACCCATTAAGCCAAAAATGACACGCATTTTGATAATAAAATTCAATTAATTGCAAGCGTTGTTCGTTTGTAAGACGATTCATGATTAAATTATAGACCAAACGTAAGATATTTGACAGTGACAGAAACCAAGAAACGTGCGTCAGCTATTCAAACCAGTGTTGCCAAAAAACCAATAGCTAAAAAATCACCCTTTATATGAAGTGACAGTCTGAGGTGGGTATACACTAGACTAAACGAATATTGAAAGTCTTTGCAGTGCACGGTAGGCTTTTAATGCGCTCTTACCTGCCAATAGAATTAGTCGAGCTGTAGTAATATAATTCCAGTTCAAATTGAACTAGTACGTCGTCATCTCTACCAGCACCAGTACTCAAATTTTTAACGAAAACTTATCTGTTACGAGGTACGGCTGATACTGGTACTACTATTGATACTATTTCGAAAAATTAGAAATATTATTACTAGCAGTATAAGTACTACTACTATTTTATACTACTACTACCATTTCTACTACTATTACTAATACTAATATGATCATATAAAGATTTTTTATGCTGCGTTGGCCTTACTAATTTTTTCATCTTAATGCTCATAGCTCCTAGCGCACCTATTATTTATTACTTCGACGATTCGAATGTTTCTAGAATTTGAAAAAGATGGCAACCATCAACTGGGGTTCAAAATATAAGAGAAATTTCAAAATTATAATATTGAACATATTTTTAAGTATAGTAGGCGGAAAAGTTATTCGCTTAAACGTCAAATTACAATATATGTATGTATGTATGTGTAAGAAAATTTCAATAGTGGCTTTGAACGTAAAGCATAATTATTTAGTCACCACTGAAACCTAATATATATATATATATTGTAAATACATACATTAAATGCTGAATGAAAATATGCCGCCTATTTCTTGTGTACAATTTTCCAAATCATTAAACGATGAATAAATTAAACAGTTTCATTCAAGTTTTACATTTATCGGTTTAAATATTGTTTGCTAAATTAGTTAAAATTTTGAGTTATGCCAAAATCTACTCACTGCAATTAGCTCGTTTATAAAGTATTTACCAAATTAAATTTACATTTTAAAATTATAGACCAATCCGTTGATAAAGCATTAAAACATTACGAATATTTGAGTGAAATTCCCCAAATATGCACACATAAATAGATTATAATACGAGTACATACATATATAATATAAATGTATGTTCGAATACACTTTAAGCGGCTGTGGCATTTTAAAATTTATACAGAGTTATTGATTTTGCGATTTAAAATATCTATTTTCATGAATGGCATTGCATGTGAAGCACTACAAGATTTTGCAAAATTTGATCTCTATGAGGTCATTTTCACCCACTTTTTGGCACATATTGGACGGGATATCAGTCAGTGCCGCCGTTGTCGTTTTCAAAGAAGTAAGACCCAATCACACCTCCGAACAGGAAAGCGCGGCAGAGTAAGTTCCTTTTTTCTTGGTGTAATGTCATCTCTTAAATTATTTATGTAACTATTTTATTTATTTACGTATCCCCTATTGAAAAATATGTTGTTTCCACTGCTTGTTGTTCAAGCAGCAAATCGGCGTTTTTAAAGATCAGCTGGCTGTGCTGGACTTTTTACAGATGTTGATTTCAGTTAAAATGCAAAAAGCACCATAATGTACCGACGTGCTTTTGAGAAGGTCGAGCCATATACATATTCGAGTCATTAGCTATACTTTCACTCGCAGGCCTTACAATATGTGTAGCCAATCCCGTCACTTCTTGGTTCAATTGCTTGAGTACTTGGATGACTATTTGCACCATAGTCTCCTCTTAAATCACTAAATGTGCCCAGATGTGAATCAACATACACTCAATACAATATATTTTAAAAGTTCTAGCGTGTAGTGCTACTGCTAAGCGATCCAGATTCATAAACACTTGACTTTCAGTTAAGTTTGAAAGATTTCAAAACAAGAGCCTGCCCTTTGGAAACCAATAAATTGAAAACCCTATAAATCAGTTAATGTGTATTGACGTGTGCACTTCTGTGCTTTTAATAAAGGGTGATTTTTTAGCTATTTTCTTTTTGGTAACACTAGTTTAAACAGCTGACGCAGGTTTCGTGTTTTCTGTCACTGTCAAATATCTTACGTTTGGTCTATAATTTAATCATGAATCGTCTTACAAACGAACAACGCTTGCAAATTATTGAATTTTATTATCAAAATGCGTGTCATTTTTGGCTTAATGGGTGCGTAAATAAGCAGATTTGTCGATTTTAGAGTGAAGATCAGCAAAAGCTACCAATGCATCCAGAAAAAGTCACACTTTGGTACAGTTTATAGGCTGGCGGTATCGTTGGACCATATTCCATCAAAGATAATTCGAATCGTAATGTAACTATGATGATGATGAGCGCTACAGTGAGATGATATCAAACTTTTTTTTGCCAAAAATCTAAGAGCTCGACTTGCATGTTGTGTGGTTTCAAAAAGACGGATGGACTTATTGAGAGGCGAGTTGGTTGAACATTTAATTTCACTTTCGGGACCCGTGATCTTGCGATTTAACACCATTTGACTTTTTTTTGCTGGGGCTGTGTTAAAACTAATGTCTGGGCAGACAAGCGTGCTTCAATTGACGCATTGGAGAACAACATAGAAGCATTTATTCGTGAGATACATGCCGAAAATTAAATTATATTAACAGTATTATCGATTCAAATAAATATTTTATGCATTTTTCTGATCTTTATGTGTGTTTTTTTTTTTGGAAAACTTTCCTGTAGTTTAAAAAAATAGTTCAAATCTATTGCGTGTTTTTAGTGCAATAACTTGGAATATTTGATATATGTACGAGTATATGAGAAATGTTCATATTTATATGTATGTTATCTGTATTTTCATTAGCAAAATATGTGCTGTTGGTATTTTAAAGCTTAAATAAAATTTTTTAATGTGCTGGTTAAAAAATTGTGTGTGTATATGTGTAATGATACAATATTAATCTAATTGCGTTAGCCTAATTAATTATTATTTTTTTTTTTAATTTTCGTATGGTTTGGTTTATTATTTTTAATTCATTTGTTATGGCATATGAGTTATTAAAAAATAACAGCTAAAAGAAATACAAAACATGCAAGTATAATGAAAATCATAAATTAATTGAGCATAATTTTGTCTCTCTTTTTAGGAGGCAAAATTTGATTTGTTGCAAAAATATATAATTAAATAATATAATTAATAATATTAATTTTTATTGAGTTATTTGCAATAGATGTGAGCTGCTTTCAATTGCTACTCACTAATTGCACTAATTATTGGTTCCTATAATTAAACAAAAAGTTCTCGATTTTTAAATTAATTTGTTTTCAGAGCAAAACGTGGCAACCACTCATCCGCTCAACAAGCCACCGTTCGCCGAATGCTCAAAAGGACGCTTGAAAATTATAACTGCGTACCATATCTTCTTCGATTCTAACGCTGCTGTTGACCGTATGCCGCTATGTCGGTGTTTGGCACCCCTGCAGAGCTTATAGGGTTGCGTGAACTGACACTGAGCAACTCCAAAAGTTTTATTAGAGCTGAGAAGGGCCTCTCTGAGCCTCTACGTATCAAACAAAATATTTGACAAGGTGCTCCGTATTACTATTTCACACATACTGCTATAGAGAGTAATCAGAGCGAAATAATTTATTAGGATAGACTTAGTCAGCCTAATTTGATTTTTCAAAGGATTTTGTTTTCATATGGTGGGTCTCACTCTAGGTAGCCTCCGAACGGACGTTTTTTTTGGCTGCCGAGGAGATACTTGGTCTCAGACCGAAAGTGGTTAGCTGTTTGAATAACTTCTAGCCACTCCCAGGTAAATGGCAGTCAAAAACTTTCCTCACTCGCGTGAACTTCCATACTCGATTCGGCCGTTCGATACCAAACGAGTTTTCAGACAGGGCGCTTCCTTATCGTGTGACTTTTTTAACTTATTTCTGGAGAAAAGAATATGAGCTTCCCAGGTGAATAGAGAAGGTATAATCTTCTACAAGAATGTACAACTACTGGCGTACGTCGATAATATTAGATGGGTCTGGTAGTGAGGGAGGACAAGACGAAATATCTCCTGTCATCAAACAAACAGTCATCGCGTTTGCGACTTGGCTCCCACGTCACTGCTGACAGTCATAACTAAGAGGTCGTAGATAATTTCGTCTACTTAAAGACCAGTATTTTATAATAACTCATATGCCATAACAAATGAATGAAAAATATTAAACCAAACCATACGAAAATTAAAAAAAAATAATAATTAATTAGGCTAACGCAATTAGATTAATATTGTATCATTACACATATACGCACACAATTTTTTAACCAGCATATTAAAAAATTTTATTTAAGCTTTAAAATACCAACAGCACATATTTTGCTAATGAAAATACAGATAACATACATATAAATATGAACATTTCTCATATACTCGTACAGACCAGCTGGTTTGAGATCCAGCGCAGAATGGCTCTTGCCAACTGGTGCTACTTTGGACTAAGTGGGCAATTGAAAAGTAAAGTCCTCTCCCAGCGAACAAAAACCAAACTCTACATGTCACTCATTATAGCAGTAATACTTATGGCGCAGTAACGTGAACAATGTCAACATCTGATGAGTCGGCCCTATCAGTCTTCGAGAGATAAGTTTTGCGAACGTTTTATGGTCCTTTGCGCATTGACAACGTCGAATACCGTCTACAATGGAGCGATGAGCTATACCAGACGAACGACGACATTGACTTAGATTTGAAGGATTTTATGTGCCAGTGTAACATATTTTTCCAAGAATCTACTAAGTTGGTTAAGACAATAAGTACCTATGATAAAATCATTATACAGCCTATTACAATTGTTGGTAGTCCCACCATCGGTTATGTGGAATATTTTAATATAAGTATTACATGTTTTGAATCGACAATTTTTGAATATTAATATAATAATCTGAATTCTTCTGGCTTGTATTTGAGCCACTGAAATCTAAAATATCATGAAAATGTTGTTGTAGATGATAACCGTTGCCTTGCATCTACATTCATCTACAACATGACATTAGTGAGCGTAATTACGGTCATATATGTATGTACACATGTGTATGGGTGTAGCAGTAGCGAGTGAGAATATGAAATAGATTCTAAATACATACAAATATATATGTATCTAACTGGGTATTATAGATGTTATGTATGCATGAGTGTGTTAGTAAAACTTTTCATAAGTATGCCAGAGCACGTTTACTTACAGTGGGCCAACTTCCGTTTCAATCGCTCCCACAACACAGTGTCCTGCTGTCAGCACATAGCGTTGATTTATCAAACTACCGCCACAATTGAGTATAGGTTGGCCATTCTCTACACATAGCACGTGTGTATGTTCATATACATATACATATGTATGTATGTATGCATGTATGCATGTTTGGGTAAGTGAGAAAATCAAAAGAAAGAAAAACACAAAAACATAAAATCAGTATGAGAATAAAAGACATTGAAATTCAAATCAATAACGACGATTTAATCTACAACAAACAAACAAGAGCAGCCAGAAAGCTGAAAGTTGTTTACTCTACGCTACCCACAGCCACAAAGAATCAAATCTACACTTACTCTGTGTGTATTCCAGCAACACCATCCATGGATATTGATCCAGCGCTGTGTCTCTGCCATTGTAAATTTTATCATTCAACGAAGTTGGACCACATTCAGGCGGCACCGGCAGCACATTGCCGTTACCATTGCCCGGCGATGGCGGTCTGAAAGGTACTGGGCGACGTGTAGTCGTCGTTGGTGTTGTAGTAGTTGTTCTGACGGGCGTTGGATTCGATGCGAAGCCTTTATCAGGCGTACAACAGACATACGGTGACTGTCCATAACCGTTAACACATTGAGATTTTTGCAAGAACTCACGATCCGACGGCGAGAGATTGTAGCTCTGTACTACTTCTAGCAGGCTGGGGCATTCGTAAATTGAGACACAATAACCCAATTTGGCATTCGGATTGTTACATCGTGCTGTTGAAGTATAAGAGTTGGTAAACAAATGCATAAGTGAGCGCAAGAAATATTTTAAGAGTACTAAAAGAGATGTAAAAGTGAGCACATGAATAACGAAGTCGATGACGGCCGCGGAGCGCGCAAGTACAAAAATATGAGAAAATTTCCCACCACTTCGGTTATTGAGCGAAAGCGACGACGTAGCATCCAGCAGCTGAACTAAAAAACTTACCACCGACAGTATGAGTGGCGGAACAGCATCATCTGTGTGCTACTTCCGAACGGCAGTAACACCAGCGTATTGCGCGGGGTGAACAACCACCCCACTGACAGTTGGCGGCTGTTTTGTAAGCATGACAGTGGCAGTGGACTCGCCGTTTAAAAACACCAATTCACATTGATTGCATTGAACTTTGGCTTTGTTTGTGAGGTTTTTGTTATTTTATTAACTTTTCTTTTATCCCAGATTTTTTTCCGCACACTCCTCATTTATTGCGTTTTTTTTGTGTGTGTCTTTCATTTGCCTGCGTACGTCAATGACTCACTGAGACTGGGATTTGCTTAAATGTGCGACGATGACACCAACCAAACAAGCAACCAACCAACCAGCCAACCAATCGACCGAGCTACCAAACTAACAAGAAAACAAGTGTATGCGAGTACATATCTATGTGTAGTACTATAATCGGCACACCAGGCAGCCAGCCAGCCAGCCCAACAGCTACAAAGCCAACGATAAACCATTTTATTCAACTCAATTACACTCGCAACTTTATGTTGTAAGATTACTTGTAATGATAACACCGAAGTTAAATACAGAAGAATTATGAGTAGCTGCTGGTGCATGGCCTTTGTGAATTGGTGAATATAAAATGAAATGAAGAAACAAATGAATAAACAAACAAACAAAGAGAAGTTAAAAAAAAAAAAACATTGTCATTTTCGTATTGAAAGTAGTAAATGGGCATTAAGCCGAATGACTTGAAGGACATTTATATCGATCGTGTGGCTGTAAATTAGCTTGTTTTAGGCAATAAACACAAATTAACGGTTTCTCTGATTACACAACACCTACTAACTGCTACAAATGCGGGAATTAACTTCTTTATTTTATCTTGTAGCACTAAAACTGCTGCAAATACCAGACATAATTCATGTTCACTTATGCATATATTATATAATATTTAGATACATATGTATATGTGTATGTGTGTGTGTGGGTGTGCGAGAGCCTGAGCTTTTGCTATCGAAGAAACATTAATTAAAAAAGAATTTCACATTTGTGCTAATGGGTTTCGGAAAACTCATAATTGCCAGGCGAGAAAAGTTTGCTTTAGATAGATATTTCTTTGAATTTAAAGCATAAATTTATATTTCCAGCTATAAATTATTAGCAGGCTATGCTTCAGCTATAAATTAATAGCAGGCTTTGCTCCAGTTGTTGGAAAAGCATCAAGAGGCAAAACCACAAACTGGTGGGGGAGCGCGGCCGAAAAAGCGCTTCAGTGGTTAAAAAGCGCCAATTATATACAAAAAATTATTATATATGCTCTCAACAGAGAATAAGTACTGAAGCAGCACATTGTAGTTTATTCAGCTATCGACATTGTTTCTAATGACTACGAAAGCAGTATATACGGCATATATAGCATTGGGTGTAGTAAAAGAAAATCCATTAATTTTGCATCAAACTGAAGGTATTAGTTTTTTTTCGTATTCAAATGGCTCCAAACGGCTTTTCGTGCAATCTTTAGCGCTTGGGCGACCGAAACAGTGTTTACATTACAGTTGAACTCGACAATGTCCATGATTTTATGGACATTTTCGACAATTGGCCTTCCACTCTGTAAAGCATCATACACATAAAAATAACCGGAATGAAACCGGAATTTCGCATGGCTGACTATAACAGTAGAAGGACCGTAACGCCATTCACATTTTCAGTGCTTGGCTGCGTTTTCACTCTTATCGAAAACAATTTTTTAAAATATAGCGTAATTTCTCTTTACTAGTGTAATTTTTGATGCAAGTTCAAATAAAACTGAATTAACAAATCACAAAACTGACAGAAAAACTTTTTTTTTAGTACGAATTGTCATCTTTCTAACGCCGCCTAACGGAATACGATCGGATTTATACAATACGAGATACAGATAAATAACGGCATATCTTGAAAAAATAATGGATTTCTTTTTACTACTTGAATATTATGGAACTTTAGCTCCAGTAAAAAGTTGTACATTCTTTTGCGTTCAATTGAAGGTTTTATTGATAGATTTATCCTAAATCTCTAAAAATTGTTGCCATTTTGAGAGCAATGTCATAATGCTTTTCTGAAAGAAACCCTTTTTCCTGTTATTAGAAAATTGGGTCAATGGTTTTTTACAGCTTCTCTTGAGGACAACGGGGTGATTCATCACCAGCCAAATCAGTTACCATTGGCAAAAAGAGGCGCGAATTCCACAAAATATGATGGAGGCATAAGAACCCCTCAACCAAGCTCTCGCAGCTACTAGCGAGTTACTATCGGTGTATTTATGTGGTCTGGCGCTGTACTGTTGAAACACTATTCTCCTCCTGGTGGGAAAATGTGGGACATTTTGGGCGATTGCTTCCTTCAGGCGGTCGAGTTACTCACGGTACAAGTCTGAATTAATAGTTTGGTTATTTTTGAGCAGCTCGTAGTGAATGATTCCTTGCCAAACCCACCAAAAACGCGTATTTTTGGCTCAAATTGTAAGAGCTTTAAAGGCAAATGAATGTAGCTGAATCTTTTAAAGCGCTGACAATCGCGCCGTTAGGTTTGCTCTCTGTATATTAGACGAATAGGCGTATTGAATGGGTGTTGTAGTGAAAAAAGTATTTGATGCCGTCAAACAATCAACGTTTGAGCTATCACGATACTGTTGCAGGCATAATCTGAAGTCATAGATATTTTCGTCTATCAAGGAAACACCAATAACAATGTAGTCCTATGCATACAAAGTTAAGGTCTTAAGCTGCTCGCCTAACAAATGCTTCGAAGTTTCGTATTAAGGTTTTAGTGACGACAATATTTGATTAGCCGAAGTTTTCGAGGCAAAGTTTTTACAGCAGATTGATATTTTGGAGATAACTCGACAGACGATGGCTAGGATGGATGGAAACACTGAAAGTGTTACAGATTCTTACGCAGTAATCACTGGCAAAAGCAGAGCAATATAATGACTTCAATTTAGAAAACCTAAGAAGGTAGGAAATTATACGGCCTTCACAATAATACACACTTTGCCGGATAAGCTTCTAATTAAAGAGAAAAGAGTTAATCTCCTATAAGTGTGAAAGATTTGTCAGAAGCTATGCCGAAAGGGTATAGAGCTTGAAGAACCCAAACAAAACTATCAACAAACGCAATAATAAAATTTTGAGATATCAAGCCGAATACAAACAAACCCGTTCCAGTGTTAGCAAGTCAAGTAGGATGGGTAAGTGGCGCGCCGGTAAAGAAGAAAAAGCAGTAGGATCGGTAAAATTAACATTCAAATCCACCTGTGTAACCAAACCTGTTTTGTCTTAATTAGAAATTAGGTATTTATGTTAATGGATCTCTTAACAAATGTTAAAACCTACTACAAAACTGGTAATTCAAACGTGTTCGCGTTTCACTCAAGCAGTCCCTCAAGCAATCCTCGTTCTACCTCAAATATCCCTAAAGTAAGCGAAAGTGTACGGTTATTAAAAGCCGCTACTTTCTTACGGCCTCTTATGGCGTGCAATTGAAGAACAAGTCTCAGATAATACGTGGTACCAACATGTGGCACCTGCCACATAACATGAGCGAATATGCCATTTATTGGGAGCGGAATTTCCTGTCTGCGTAATCTCACGTCTTGGCGATGTCAATTAACCAACGAGATCGTATGGTTTGACAGCCTTAGACTATTTTTGTGGGGCTATGAAAAGACCGAGCTTACGCGCATAAACTTCTAACTATCGAGTGCTTGAAAATCTAGTTTTTTTTTTTTAATTTTTACTGTTATTGTGTCCAATATGCGTTCAAAAGTGGTTGAAAATAACTTCAATTGGAGCGAATCTCAGAAAAAATCGCATAGTGGTTACTTCAAGAGATGTGAATGACACATATAATGCCAAAGTTCCAGGTTCATTTATGTATAATAAAAATAGATCTTTAGAAAATAAAATAAAAATTATGAATACAGTTTATTTACGTTACGATATTATGGATTTACTGCCCTTTATTTGAATTATTATTATTATTATTTGAAAAAATTTCTTAACACGATGGATGGATTTTTTTTTTTTTTTTTTTTTGGAGATTTAAGTTCAGCCCAAAGGAAGTGCATGTTTTTTTTCTTCGTATCTAACTTAATTTAATTTTTCTATTATCAAAAGGATTACCAATGTTAAGAGGATTAAATTATTTATTCAATTAAATCCTATTATAAATTGAATGAATTTTTTTTGCTTTGTTTAACATTATAATTCTCTAATAGCAGTAAAACTTAAAATTTAGCTCTGAGTTATCAATTAATTATTAGCTCCTATTAACATCCAAAAAGTGAAAGCTTCCATTTATATAACGAACAAATGTTATTAAATACAGCTGCTTTTTCGAATTATCATATAAATATTAAGGGTGATTAAATTGCTTGCATTACAGTAAATACTAAATCAAAGAACAAAGTGTTATGTTACTTCAAAGCCAACTAAAATACAATTTCTCACTTTATTTGAGGCTTAGTAAAATGCAGCAGTGTTTTTTCGCAAAATTATTGTTAATATTTAAATTATTTTAATAAGTACGCATATATGTTCGGGCGAAATTGAAAATTAAATAAAATCTAATATTTGAATTTGGCAATAAATTACAAAAAAAAATTGCATTTTTTTTACAAAACAAATACAATTCCCCAAAATTGTGTCCAAAGAGGGAAACCACTATAATAAAAATCATCATCAAACAAAAGTCGATTTTTTATAAATAATTGAGTATTTTTAAAAAGTAATAGAGGATCCTGTATGGGTACTTTCATTTCTGGAAATGTTGGTACCACAAAAATACTACAACAGCAAATTTTAGCTATTAAAAGATTCTATTTAATTAAATAAAAATGACTGCATTGGGAAAAAATAACTTATGTGTAAAAAAATTTCTTTGAAATTAGTTTTTAATATTTCTTATATGATTTACAGTCATACAACAAGTTATTAGTAAGTATTAACAATTAAAAAATAATAATATAACTATAAGAATGGTCTCACTTGTAACCAAATATGGTATTGATGCTGATGTTTAGGTCAGAGTCATTGTGTCTTTATATACACAACTGTTTTTCTGATTTAAATTGGAAAGCCGTCAAAATGACTTCCTTCGGCAAACTAGTGTTGAGACCAGAACCAAGTTGTAGATGTTAATATTTTAATTAATTTAATAATTATTTCAAGCTATTAATTTGATTGTAACTAAACTTAAAAACTGCTATGTTAAAACGTACGAAACAGAAAGAAAATGCTTGCAAATTTTAATCTAGGCAAGAAGCTTTCTATGTCTAAAACCTCAAACTAATCGAAACATATGATGCTTTCAGATAGATCGGACCCAAAATAAAAATATAATCAATATACTGAAATAGGTGTAGAGCTATCAGCTTTACACACATCAATTAAATCCAATGATAAATTGGTCAGTCTCAGATCCACTTCTAGAAAGGAAATTTCTCAACACAGTAACCTGGACAAAGGGACACATACATTGAAAAAACCTGAGCCATCGGTTCAATTTCAGGCCTTCCTTATGTAACAAAAGGTTTCCCCAATAAAAATTTAGAACCAAGGCTGCCATTATCCCAAGTCTCATATGAATCAAGCGATAAGTGAAGTATTTCGACCCAAGGTCCACTTCACAGAAGAAATAGTTAAGCCCATTTCATTTTAGGTAAATAGTTGGCTGCGTACTGAATTTCATGTAGATATTTTAAAAATAAATTCGATTTTTGGACTAAATCAGATGCCTACATCATACGTAAAAGTGGTTCTTTCAGCTCAAAGTCACAACGATCAGCGGTTTGGTCTGTTCGATTATCCGTTAATCATTCACGACACAGCCTTTTATATATATATATTAATAGTAGGTCTAAGAAAATATTTTCAGGTTCACTAATTTCTTAAAAACAAGTTTATGTTCAAAAGTTTCGTAGTTTTTGTTCTTTAAGCATATTTTGCACAGTAATAAAACTAATATATTTGAATATCTTAATGAATATTCGAAAAAAAAAATTTCAGAATTTTTAAAAAGAGTGTGTCATATTCTAAAAACCCCATTTTGATTTTTAATGGTGTAATTTCAAAGATTTGTTTTTGTCAGACGGAAGCATTCACTTAAATGCGTGGTGAGTATCCAACAAAATATGAATTAAAAATGAATATTTCCGCAAAACCGAAACGGTTGGTCTATTTTAACGTTTTGTCTGAATTCCATTCCTTTATTTTATTATTTCTAATCATATGGTATGCTTAATTAGTCGAGCTCGTGTATTTTCAGTGTATATGTATGTATAGTATATTATTAAAAAATATCATTTTACAAACTAACTTAGTTCATTCTGCTTATCATTTCTGAGAAATGTTTATGCAGGGCTAACCATTTCGTGATTTCGAAAGTACAAAGCTTTGTTTTGTCATCTGTAAAACTTAATTCTCTAATCAAACATATTTACCTAAAAATCAGATATTTATTAAAATTCATCGCTTAACAATCGTTTCGTGCTTTTAGAGGAGATTGCAGCAAAGATATCATGACGCGAAACGCTCTAGTGAGAGCAATTTAAAAATTCAAATTTTGGTAAAACATTTGCATTTGTGAAATTTTGGCGAAAAAGTTTACTTTTGGGATTTTTGAGGAATTTTTCGGATTTTATTTTTGCGAACAGAAAGTTTTTCAAATGAATATTTTTGAGCATTATTTTTTATGATTTATTTTATTAACTTTAACTTACAAATTTAATGTGCTTAATAAAAGTTTATTGATATCATAAATTATTTTTCTTGACGATCAGCTGTTCGAAGTTCCTTCATTTGACGCTGTTACCTGCCCAGCAAAAAGAATTCGAGGTACGCATTTATTTGAGTACTTAAAAGCCATATTCTTGAAGCTATGACCAAGATACCGCCCAAAATGTGCCAAAAAGTGATTGAAAAATGGAGTCGAAATTCGCGAAAAATGACACAGCGGCCATTTGAATGATGTAGCGTTTCACTTGTAATCGGCCAGGTTCGCCAAATAATAATTTAAATGCATTTTATTTACGTTCATTTTCGAAACCGCTAAATGGATAACCCGCAAACATTATTAGTTTTAAATCATTTATGTAGAAACATTTTCTGAGTGATTTACACCTTTTATAATGCCAACGTAGCGCTCAATTATTTTCTATTTTAAAATTCCACTTGTTGATGTTATGTTTATTTTTTTTTTTCAAATATGTACATATTTACATACATATGTTTACATGTAGCTTATGTTTGTATGTATTTCTATTCAACGTTTAACGGCAAGTATTTTTATCATTCGTTAGTGTGTTGCTGCTGTTGGGGTTTAATGCAAAATAGAATGGCTTAAAATAGCCGCTGAATATTTAATGCTCCAATTCCCTGTTTGGGTTGGAATACGCCTCCTGTTGCGACGATGCTGTATGCTGCTGAATGTGTATGTATGTATGTATGTATGTACATGCATAAATGCATATCTAAATTCGCTCAAATTGTGATTGCTTGACTTTTACGTACATAATGTATACAAACGTACGTGTGTTTATTGGTATATACGTTAGGGTACTCCCACCCTGCAGTGAGATAAACTAGTTGCACATTGCTTTGAAATGAGAGACTATTAAATTAAAGAGCAATTGCTACTTTTTACAAGAAAATATCTTTCGAAATACCAGCAACAATGTGTGCATTTACTAGTTCAAAAAGGACAGAAAAGTTACTAGTTCAGTTTTGAAAAAAGGCTATCTTATTTGCTAGTATTTAATGAATTCGCTGAGTTTTAAGGTATTTGTTGTGTGACTATAAACATGCAAACATGAATGAAATTAAATGAAACAAGGCTTTAATTAATTCTTATTTTTCGGACCAAGGTGATTTTAGTCATGAGCTTCTGGTAGTAAACTAGTACCTTTCTGGCTATTTTGTTACTTCATTGTTGGGTATATACAACATGTATTTATGTAAGTATGTATGTTTGCTTTTAAGCATGAGCATGAATATGAAATACTTATACGCATTGCGGGTACCTACCCTGCGCTGTTGTTGTCGAAAATAACGCAGTGACAAAGGCAAAAGAAAATTGCAATTGAAGCATATTAAACTGTGCGAATTTTCCCACATTGAATAACCGCATTTTGAGCGAAAGAAAAGTTTTCGATTTATTTGTGTTTTTTCTTTATTTCTTTTTTTATTTCCAATTTAATATTTGATTACTTTCTCACTTGGTGCAAATGCTTTACGTGAACATTTAATTTGAGTATATTTATATACTTATAAGCGTTTGTGCACTTTTGCTTAATTAGTTTTATAATTATCACGACAGTATTTCAAAAATACACACAATGCATGTGAAAAATATTATATATGCATATTTCAATTATTATTATTCCATTTTTTTTTTTGCAAAATATATATTTCTATTTCCACAAATTCACTTGATATTCTCGCCGAAATTCATTTAAATTCTACTTCAACGTTTCGCCAGCGACTGAGTTTATTCAATCGCCAACGCTGAGATTATAAATGTGTAGATTTAACTTAAAACTGACCGTTCAATAGGCTATTGCTACTTCACAGCGGCTACTTTGGAAGCCGCATCAGCACATCTCTTTCAACGCCACAGAGTGTGATAATCAAGACAGACTTGTATTCATGAGTAAGTGAAATATTTACATATACGTGTATGCTTACATGCATACGAGTATGTACATATGTATATTGGCTTGTGTAGGAAATATGTATAAATATATGCGTGTGCATACAATCAAACATATGTACGTAAATATTATATATACAACTGACTAAAGCGTGTTAAGCTCAGCAATACTGTAATCAAGATGAAATCGCTACGCTTTCTGGTTGTTGTCTTATTTCATACCTCAGTCCACTTATTGATTGATAAACCTGTCATGTTTGTTGTCGTTTTCGTTCTCATTGTTTACTTGCTGTGTTGTTGTGTTTATATGTTATTCTCTCGCAGCTACGTTACATATGCACATATATATTTACATATGTTGACAACATACATTTAATACAAATACAATGCTCGCTATGATGCGCTTAACGCGAGATGAGCTACAGTGATGAGATTCTTGAAGCTTATTACCAGTTCTGAATTGTGTTTCTACACTAAAAAGAAAAACACACATTCCCGCAAGATGTATTTGTGATATTTTAATATATTTTCCGGTACAGAAATTCGGCGAATTGTCTGAAGAGTGATTTTTTTTCTCAAACTCTTTTCTGTAAGCAATGTGTTCTCTTGCTTACAGTTTTCTTATCTTTTTTTTTTATAAAAGTACTTAATTGTATATACGTGTATGTATGTGCATATGTATAGGAGTAACAGCTCAATGAGTGCATTGATTTGTGTACGAAACGTGTGTTTTTTGGTTTTGCAGGCTTTTTTAATGGTTTTTCCCAGTTGTCTCATGTATGTACGCTCACTTACCATTCAGCGGTGTCATTGCTGTTGCCAAAAGCAACTTACTGTTAATGACACTTTTTGAAGCAAATAATTTTTTTTGCGATTAAATATAATGACTTTGCGACAGTGTGCTTTTCTTCAACAAATAATATTCAAATTGCCAGTTCAATTTAATCGTTATTTTGAAAATATTTGTCCTGCCTTGTTCCATAGAAAGTGATATTTGCGTAGATATTTGTTTCTTCACTCGTATAGAGTAGAATAAAAATATTCTAATTATTTTATGACGCATAAATGTAACGAATTTCGTACATCACCTGGAATCATGGATGCTTGCTAACGAAAAGTTTTGTTAACATGTAAAATACACTCAACGTTTCGGGGCAATGTTATCGAAATAATACGAAATTTTTTATGTTGAAACCGCAGAAATACGACGTCAATGTTAATTGTAAAATGTTGTTTGCTATGACATTAACAGCACACTTCAATGTTAACGTTTAGCATTATCTGTTAACGATTTTCTGTCAACTAAAAACATTATACATGATAGCATTTCCAAATGTTTTAATCGAATCAAAAAAAAACATTTATAAGCTTTGTTGGAACTATGATAAATATATAAATTTTATATATGTTAATTTCAAAAATGTGTGCGCTTGGGCCAGCGTTGTTAATACTAATTTTTTTCTGGAAATCCTACCTGAAACGAAAATGATCCGAAAAACCTGTCGATTTCTAACTCCTTTCCATTAAACTCTATTACAGCTTCTAAATAACTCAAAGACTCCTACTTAATGGTAATTATCGTAACAGACTATCGAAATTAATGAAGTTAAGCGATAGTTTGCACAAACTAAATGCTTAACTAACAGCATCCAACTAAAATACTTTTTTCGTTATATTTAATACCATTTTCGAGGATCAGAGCTGACCATTAACTACGGTATATCATTAAGTTAAAATTTAATGGAATCGACCTAAAACTTTGTTCATTGTTCTCCTCTCGTAAATTAACTATTTAGAGGTTTTTTCACCAAATATCGATTTTTCTGTTATATCTCCAAAACGCATTGCAAGTTTGGAACAACGAGCTTTCTGAGTAATGAATATTCTAATATTGCTAAACTTAGAATTCCATAATGGTCATAATATAGTTATTATTTATTTGTGGTATGCCTATTTGGTATGCTTCCTGATATTTTTACAACAAATGCAGGCTCCTTAAGTTTATCCTAGGCCGCCTCTGAACGGACGATGGATTTTTATGAAGAGCCTTTACCTAATGTTAGAGGGGCTGACATATCTGCCGAGGGGTGACAACTGTTTGAAAAGTTAACGCACCACGAGATCTGTAGCTGCCGTTAACATGGTTCGTCAGGTTTAGGTGTTTAAGTTTAGCAGAGTTTTCTGATAACAATCGGCCGAAGATATCCCTATACGGTATCTTAATAATACAATCAAAATGCTGAAAAGGAAGCTACTCCGCGATCATAGAACTCCAAGTCAATTACAAACGGGAGTTAAATAGCCTTAACCTAAGTATGTATATCTCAATTATTGCTAAATATAATATTATAGAATAGTATTACAACAAAGATTATAATTTTACAATTTGTTTATTATCGCTGAATTATTTAAACACGCCACCTAAACACTAAATGACTTTGATGAATGTACAATACATACATATCTACATGCATATGAGTGTATTGCAACAAACTGTAGTGTATACATATGTATATATAAATGTTTTATGTTGCGCATTGCCATTGCAAACTTGTTAGTATGTGTGTGTGTGTGTGTATGTGGTAAAATATTCAACTAAGAGAATACTCATTCTTGCAAACGCACATATCAAGCGAAGAATAATCGGAGTAAAATAGCGCTAGCGTTGGTGATACAGACAACAAGACAGATGTTACTACCAGCGAGTTGTAAATAAACTTAATTAACTGCTTGAAATTCCAGCGCTCAGTTCATTGGCCAATTAGATGAATGCACGAGCTAATTGCACGCTGTTGAGCCGCGTTGAAGCAGCCGCTATAAATTGACCTAAACGATCGGGATTGCCAATGCTCTCTCAGTGGGTTTTTGTGCAAATTCAAAGCCTGCAAACTGTTCAGACCGTTTGATAAATCGAACTGGCGGTTGCCATCATAGATGTTTTGAGTAAAAAAATAATTTTTTTTTGCGGTATTGCATTTTTTTCCTTGTTTTCAAATTTAGTTATAGATTTAAGCTTAAAGCTTTTTGGCCAAATGCTCTTTATAATATAATACTAAACGAGTATAATTGCTTGTGTGATTTTTTTGAAGTTAAATCTTGTATTCGAAGTCGAAGATTAGTTTTGTGGTGACAAATATAATCGATGCATGTACATATGTACAAGAAAAAGAACATATGTTTGTCATAGACTATATATAAAAATTTTATGTCCGCTTGGAAAGTCCGGTGATCTCTCCGGGAAGTGTTCCAAGGGCCGAAAAAAAATTTTTATCGCTCGTTTGGCTCGAAACTCGGCGCATGGGTAACTTTTTGCTTTTATGAGCAGAAAAAGTGAGCCGGTGCATACGTAGCGTGTTATTCCCCTAAAAACATATAGAATGTGTCGATATTTAAAAAAAAATATAACTTAAATGTCATAATTAGTAAACTTGTTTCTTACAATATTTATTTTTGTATTTCAACCTTGAAAAAAAGATATCAAATTAATTTTAAAATAAGTAGCTCCAATAGGTATATAATCTGAAACTGTGTCTGATTCGCTTGTCTCTCAATCGCAAAAAATCATTATTCTCAAAATTCTTATGAAAATCACAAAGGGGACTCTCACGGAAGACTTAAAATGAAGAAATGCCTACCAAAATTTCTGCAAAACTACAAAATTTACTCATAAAGACACGAATACTTAACATTATTAACAAAACAATGCATATGAACAAATAAACACAGATAAAATTATTACATATGGAGCCTAGAAATCATTTATAAAAAATTATATGTGTTGAAATTTTTGAGTATTTTAATTTTTATTATCTCGTGGTACTAGTTTTTTAAAACGCCTAATATAATATTAACACCGCGATAGTTTCTTCATCCGACTAAAACTTATTATCGGTGGGAATTTTTTCAGGTGTCAGCCCATTGTTGCTCGGATCTAAATCTAGCATATAAGGTGGATGTGAGAGTGATTCTAAGTTCAGTAAAAGCAGCTTTGTCATTGTTTCCTTCAAAGGGAATATATAATATACGGTCTTAATAGTTTTCCCTTCTCCAAATAGTCACTCCCATCCTATAATAGAGACTATAACAAGCGTTTTTTTGTACGTTAAAATATGAGCTCTGCTCAGAAGCAATAAACTCATTTGGTTTTAATCCATTCATGTAAAAATTTCAAAAGCAGTGGCAATATTGACGCAATAACTAACATTCACATATAATTAAGTTCTTAGTTTTAGATGAAAAAAAAAAAATTAAAAAAATCAATGAAACTAACAAAACTCCAAAATGGATTAATACTGAGTACCTGCTATTGAATCGCAGTTCCCAGAATTTTTTAGTTCTCAATTAATAGATATTTATTTTATTTTTCAGTTAGAATGACAAACAAGCAAGTACAGAATTTTAAGTGAACAAATCTTAATATGAATTTTTATTATACTATAAACAAATTTAAATATGTTGAAAAAAATTTCCAAAACCAATTTTACCTATCAGCCCAACTACTAAAAAACAGATTAAGCTGCAAATCAAATTCGTACCAAACCGTTAACACTGTTGATAATGACGAAAAGTTTCAGAGAAAAATCATATATAAATGAACGAAATTTAAGAGTGATCTCAGCAAATGAAGAGGAACACGTACACAATTTAAGAGAGCAACGAGAGTGACACACCTGATCTTTTATTCTCTGCAAGAGCAACAACAAAGATATTTTAGATATTTAGTTAGTACTGAAATACTAATGAGCGAAGTCTAAAAATTCGCATTTCAATACTCTTACTTTTATCACTAATATAAATGGATTTAAATCAATTTTTCCAAGAAACTCGCCTCTTTTATTTTTTCAAATTTAACAGTTAAATCGATGCTTAATCCTCTAGACTAAAACATAAATAGAATTAATAATACTAATGCCTGATTAACTGATAATAATCTTCCCATCCAATTCATTTTATTTATAGTTAATTTTATTTGCTTGGCTGCGTCAATATTTCCCTCTCGC